GGGGCAGCGTCTATTCCCCCTGGCCCGGAGCAGCGTGTCGGAGCGAGAGGAACGCTCATCTCAGGGCACCAGCTGCCAGCAGAGCTAACTCCCAGGCTTTTCCCACTGCCCCGTGGTGCAACGTGCAGCACCAGCCGGAGCGACTCTGGCTTGCACTAACACCAGGTGCCCGGGCAAAGCTGGCACTCACCTGGCGCGTCAGAGGCCGGGCTGCTCGCTCGCAGCCAGTGTCCTTGCCCCAGTTTAAGTAGCCGCGCAGGCGGGGGCCCGATCACGAGCCGCGCTGTGTGACAAGCAGGTACCTGAAAAACCTGCAGGCGCTGTCGCCGGGCTGGAAATTCCGGTCCGGCGCTCGGCAGGATCAGCCCGGGCCGCGGCCGCGCTGGACTGTTGGCGTCCCGCTCTCCCACTCCCTCCCAGCCGGTCAGAGGAGCGGGGAGGCTGCTCTGCTGCCCGCCCTGCGCCTGGCTCCGGCTCCGGCTCGCTCTGCCGCACTCCAGAGAGGCGGTGACGTCATGAGCCTGGCCCGGTGCCCGGCCGGGTGTCACTCCGGCGCTCGCTGCTTTCCCTTTCGGGGCGGCGTGTTCGCATTCCAGCCGGGAGGGAGGGGCTGGCAGGCCTGACTCAACGGCAGGTCCTCCCCTGCGCTGGCACCTCTGTGCCTGCTCCCAGCAAAGCGCCCCGCCCTGCCCCGCTCTCAGCACCAGGCTGGACCTGGCCGGCTGCAGCCCGGCGTGTGCCTGTGCGTGCGGGCCGCGTGCGACACTCAGCCCTGCCTGGGCACCCCCTGCTCGCAGCTCCCGGAGCAGGGTCCCGCCCTGCGTCTGGCGGGCCCACGGGGCCCCGGGCTGGTGCAGTAGCCGCTGGAAGAGCCTCCCCCCTCAGCCCAGTGTGAGGAGGGCAACCAATGCCAGCCGGGGGCAGCCACGACCACAAACACCTCCAGCAACTGAGCCCAGGCCAGCCAGGGGGGCCCAGCTCCGGCAGCCAGCAGCTTGGCTTGCAGGGCTCGAGCCGGGCGCCGGACTGGCATACGCACGGTGCCTGCAGCTCCCACAACCTCATCCCTGGGGTTCACGTGCGGGCCCAGGCAGCTCAGCTGGGGCACCGGGAACTGGAGGCCCATGAGATCATGGGCCACGTCTGCCATGTGCTTAAATACCCAGGCCCTGCAGCTGCCATCCCTGGGGCCTGGCACGTGGCCCCCGCAGCCACGGAGCTTGGTCATGTCCCGCACCCTGCGGGGGGCTCCCCTGGGGTTGGGTTCCTGCCCTCGGCAAAGGAGCAGCTCGGAGCAGGCTCTTGCCTCTCACCACAAGGCCACGGTGCTGGTCAAGCCTGTGGTCAGTTCCAGGCCCAGCCCCCAACTTCCTGTGACCTTGAACCCTCCCCTGGGCCCGGCTCAGCCACTGAGCCACGGGGGAGCGGTAGCAACGCTCCCCTTGCCCTCCACTGGGGCAGAGGATTGGAAGGCGCCGCACTGGTTCCGCCGGTGCGGGCTGGGGGCCGCGGTCTCCGGGAGGCTGTTCCTGGGTCGCTGGGGCTGAAGGCTAGCCAGTCAGAGCCCTGCCCAGCCAATAGCTGCACACGGCAGGGGATGCTCAGCTGGACACTGGTGTGGGGGCCTGGGGGTAAAGTGACCCAAGGACAGACAGGGCTCTAATTCCCAGCGCCCAGCAGTGCTGCCCTGGGCTTGTCCGGGACCCGTCGATACGGGGGCGGTGGCTCCCGAACTCCCCCGGCCTCCCCGCCCAGGATCCCTGCTGCTGTAGGGAGAAGCCAAAGCAGCGTTTGCGTTGCCCCGACGGGTGCTGGGGGAGGCGTCCCCCGGCGTCACAGACAAGCTTTGCTGCTCAGGCTCTGGACGCAGATGGCCGGGGCAGAGAGTGAGCAGGCGGAGACCGGGTTCGCAGCGCTGCCAGGCAGCCGTGGCAGGGCCGTGTGGAGCGTAGCTGGGGCAGCAGGGCGTTGGCAGAGCCACCGAGGTGCCACGCGGCACGTACCTAATTCACTCTGGGAACGGCCCGCCTTGGGCTGGGCTGACCTGGAATGGCTCCTGAGCGGTTGCTCAAGCACTCAGCTCTCAGCCTGCTACCTGGGAGCCCTGCAAGCTAAGTGCAGCTGGGCAGTGCTCTCCGGCTCGGGGGCTGAGCGCTAGCCACGTGCCTAGCGTGGAACTCGTCTCCGTGCACAGCAGCAGCAAGGAGAGAGCCCTTCCCCCACTGTGCTGTGCATTCGGGTGGCCCTATTCCTAGCGCACCCACACTGCAGAACGGACCCCCCTTGCCCCGGCACCCGGGAGCGCTTCTATCCCGCCAGCACTGCTTCCCAAGCCTGCCACACAAGAAACTCTCCCTTCACCAGCAGGCCTCTCGTGCGTAAGGACGGGGATAGGCAGAGCCGTCTTTCGGCTTCCCAAGGCTCACTGTTAGAGCGCGTTCTCACTCCGCAATTTCCCTCTGTACACGAGCGCTGGGCAAACACTTGCAGCTGAAAGATTCGTTCTGACAAACGACGGCTTTTCCATTTTTTGCAAATCAAGTTCCAGTTTTACCAGAAACTCAGGGTTTTGCCAATCAGACAGTCCCCCCCAAGCAAACTCGCATTTTGTTTTCAGTTGTCGCAACCCCCCTCCCCCCAACTATTTCATCCCTTGGGGTGGTTCATAAGAGCCTCCACTATTGTTGAAAGCTAAACCCCTTTGAACTTCCATGTTTGTCGGCTCATTTCCTGCTGCAGGCGCTGCCTGAGCGTGGACAGGTGGGGTTTGCAAGGTACACATAATTGCTGTGTGTGGGAGGGTGCGCACTGAATAATTCACATGGTGAGTCATTTTGGTTTCCACTCTGACACTCACAAAGGTGCTTGAGGAGATTTGGAGGACCAGAGGCTGCTACCCCCGAAAGTCCGTCTCTCCCATCGACAGAAGTCGGTCCAATAAACGACATTACCTCACCCGCGTTGTCTTTCTCTAGTAGCCTGGGACCCAACCACTACAGCACTCCGCCTGCCCGCAGAGCAAACATTCGGCAAGAGCCACCCCTCTGGAAAGGCCCATCTTAGGCACTGTGGCCAGCCTGAGTCTGCTCCCTGTTGTGGACGTTCAGGGGGTAGCCGAGTTAGTCTGTTACAGGAAAAAACCAGCAAGCAATGGTCTGGTAGCATTGTGGACTGGCAAGTCCCCCTGCAATGGCCCTGTGAGCAGTCCCAGCTGGGCAGGCCGGGGCAGATGTGCCCATGTAACGGAGAGCGCGATTGGGCCTTCTCTGCAGGTTATCTGCGGGGGCAGGATGGGAGCCCCCCGGGGGAAGATAACGTTAGCGCCTCACTGAGCATCGCCAGATGTTGGCTTTGTTTTGAACACGCAGCCCTCACCTTGACTTGCCAGGCTCCCGGCATGCCTTACTCCAGCCCCGCCGAAGGACGTGCCGTGGGGGAAAACAACATAGCGTCAGCTGAGCCAAGTTTCTGCCTGGGGCTAGAACTGAGAACCGCATCCCTTGCAAAGGCAGAGCTGCAGGATCAATCAGTCCATCTGGGCCTGGGCATAACACACTGCCCCCCCCGGGGAACCCTGCCGTCCTGTGGCACCTTGGTCTTTGGCCACGTCCAGAGACATGCCCGGGGGCAGGCAGCCCTTGCCGCATGGCAGAGTCGTGCTCCTGGCTGTGGTGAGGACCCTGCCGTACTCACATCCCTTTTCATCAATTCCATGGCTGTGGGCTTTTCAAAATAGTCGATTTCACGGAATCAGGGATTAACAGCTGGAATTTCCCGGTGTAATAAGCGGAACACTGGGAGTCCTGACCCAAAAGAGCGTTATGGGGCAGGCTGCTGCGGGGGAGGGGGAAGGATTGCCCCCTCACCTCTGTGCTCCTGCCAGAGACGCTGCTTCAGACTGGGCACCAGAGAGCAGCTGGCAGCGGAGCCAGGAGGGTCACATTCAAAGGGCCCTCAGATTGTTCGGGCTCGGGGGGGGCAGAGATGTGGGGCTTGGGGTGAAGGGAGGACTCCCCCCGCTCGCTCTCTGCAGCACCAGGCTGAGGGGAAGAGGTGTCTCTCCCCCCCGCCTGCAGCAAGGCGGGGGGGGGCTTGGGTCAGGGCCAGGGAGCCCCACCTGCTGAGCAGGGCCATGACCTGCCCCTCCACCCTCGTTTCCAGTTCCTTAGCAAGCCCTGATCCTTCACGAGACAGCAGCCACGGGTTCGCTGGCGGCATCCACGGCCCAGCCCACAAGTGGATGCAAGTGCCCCGCAGGCAGCAGAGCCCCGGGCCTGGGCCATACAGGACCCCCCCGCGTGTAGGTTGAGCTCCTGTATGTCACAGGCCGCCAGCCGCACCTTCCCTCCAGCTACCGTCCTGCTTGGCCACCCCGTGGCGCGAACGAGCCGTCTGCCTGACATGTCCAGCTGTTAGCGGTGCCAGAGAGACCCCGCCCCCAGCGCCCGAGTGCCTGAAACACACAGCCAGGAAGTGCTGCCGCTGCCGCGTCACCGCTGGGGGGCGCCTGCTGAATAGCGCACATGCCCCCAGCTCTGGCTGCCTTCCCGGCTCACAGCAACGCTGGCTGCAGTCACTCCCTAAGCCCCGGGGACCTAAGGCTCTGGGATGAAGAGCGTGGTGGACGACTGCGCTGCTCTGGCCCAGGGGGAGTCTCTACAGCGAGGGTAATGCCTGGCCGTGCAGGAGTCAGCTTTGGCAGGGGCTGGGCTGAGAGTGGAATGAACTCCGCCATGGCCAACCCGTCTGCTCCCAGTGCCTGGCGCACTGTGCCAACCTGCCTTCGCCCAGAAGATTTACCCGGCCTTCCCGGGCCCTTAACTCGCTGTCTGGCTGGGGCCCCGTTTTTCATTTCAATCATCGCTCTGGGTGGGGCTGGGGAGGAGGGTTCAGTGTGCAGGCTGCCCCAGGGAGAGAGGACAACCCCAGCCCTCGCTCACTGGAGCAACTTGGGGCCAGGTAAGAAGCGCCTCTCCATGGCTGCTGGTGAGCACAGCCAGCAGGAGGGGTGCACGTCCCCTGGCTGGGGGAAAGACATACACACAAACAAACAGACCACAAAGAGACAAACTCTCTGAAATATGTAGTAGACCTGTGTGACCTTTCCAAGTTAATTTATTATGAAGTAGTATTCCTAGGAATAAACTTTTCAACTATCTGATTTCTCACACCATAAATAAACCCCATTCTGTCCTAGTTTTCTTCCCAGATAAAAGTATTCCCTTTGGTTTTTGCAAAGTAAAAATGTAAATCCCCAATCATTTTCCACACTTGGAAATCTTCAGGAGTGCCTCATTTGTCTTTTCCATGGCTATGTCAAATCTTCTATGCTTAGGCGTACGGCAGAGCTGTCCATGAAGAGGGAAGTGCCTATTCACATCTGCACACTTTCCGGGAGGTCATTTATCATAATGGAAAACCAAGTAGGACTGATTAATATTCCCTCATGGCGTTCCATTTGTAAGCTTGTAGGGTTTTGCGAAAGCTATTTCCACTTTGAGCTGTATAGGTCTGTCACTTGAAGTCCCTTGTCCACCAACATTCTCCTGTTGATGCCAGCATTGACTAGTTTCCATAGGAGACCTTCGCTCCATATCATATGCTTTTTTAATGGCCAGGAAGCTCTTATCCCACAGTTCTTAGTCTTTATGCTATTTTGCACCTCCGTTTCTAGTCGCACTATGTGGTCAACTTGGTACCTTCTTTTTCTGAAACCACTTTCCTCCTCATTTTTCTCCAAGTGTTTCCAAGATTTTCCCCACATGTGATGTTAGGGCAATAGGCCTATAAGCATCAGCTCTTATATGGATCTTGCCTGGTTTCCTAAGCAGCATCACCAAGGACTGTTTCCATTTTATTGGCAGAAGGCCTTTGCCTCGCATGTCATTACAAAACCACAGTAGAATCTTTAGTCTCACTTCGGATCCAGGGTGGGGCAGGGGTATGTGTGCACCCCCAGACAGTCCCTTGCACCTGCTGATGATTGTCTCTTTTCTGTATGGTTTTCTGAGACGCAATCCCACTCCAGGCACCCCAGCCACAGCGAGGACTGCAGCAAACTGGACTCTTCCCCTCACTCCCTGACAAAGGGGAGCAGCCAGCAACATCCCTGTATGAATTGGGCGTGGGGGGCGTTGCAGGGTGCCCGGGGGATAGGAGGCTCATGGCTGGGGCAGTCCAGGGTGGGGCAGGGGTATGTGTGCACCCCCAGACAGTCCCTTGCACCTGCTGATGATTGTCTCTTTTCTGTATGGTTTTCTGAGACGCAATCCCACTCCAGGCACATCCTGTTTTCCTGGCACAACCTCCCTGACCTTGCTTTACATTATGATAAGAGGAAGCAGAGTACTGAATTTGGTGGGCCTAGCTTTTCCTGTGTAGGAGGAGTTCTGGAACAGATAGATCACGCGCAAGCTGACAAATTCCCTGGCATATAGTAGATAGGCACATGTTGCTATCTAGCTGTATATCTATAAATGAAAAAACATTCCACGGCACACCTTTCTCCCCTGGGGAGAGGAAGAGAGAACAAACAACTCGTGCCAGATGCTAGCATGGAGCCTAGTGCATTCTGGAAAATGTTTCCCTACCGTGGGGGTGAGTACAGCCTAGGAACCTCTATACAGCTGCATAAAAGTGCCTCTTAGAAACTGCCCAGCAAGGCTGAACCCAGACCAAGGTGGCTTAGTGGCAGTCTAGTGCCAGAGAGTGCTGGACAATTTTTGTGGCTGTGTAGCTGAGCCGGGGAGCATAGCTACATCCAGAGTATACACCAGGCCGCCCAGATCTTCCCTCTGTCAAGCCTTTGAGGCCTGGCTGCCCCCAGGAGTCCCTGACAGGCTGGTGGGGGTATCTGACTAGCCAGACTAGCGGGCTGCAGTTGAGCTGGCGAATAGAGTTTGTTACCAAGCCCATGGGAGGCTGGGGCCTCTCACTTTTGCTCGTAGGAGCCACAAAGCCAACTGGAACCATCACATGAGCAAGGGCTGCAGCCCCTGGCCCTTTGCGCCCCTGGGTAATGGCAGCAGCTCCCGCAGCCTTCCCCCTGGTGCCTGCCATCCTGCTTCTGCTGGCAGCTCCCCGGACCTGCGGGACTTCTCCTAGCCGCCACTGCCCCCGTGTGGGGAAGGCAGGGGCAGCTGGAACGGCACTGCAGCCCCCAGGGTCAGGGCTGTGCGCTCGGGGATTGGGTGACCTGTTAGACACAGGCAGGTTCCTGCACTTCGCAGCTGGCGCCGGCAGCCCTGGTATGGCAGACTCCAGTAGCAACAGCTGCCCCAGAGCTCAAACTGGCTCCTGGGCCAGGAAGCCAGAGGCATGGAAAGCTGACGCCCCGGGGAGCCGCCCACTGCAGCAGCCCAGAGGGGGCCCCTGCTACGAGGGCTTGGACGCGCGCCATGCGACAGTGCCCTTAGAAATGCCCAGGGCTGGAGGCCTGGGCCTTCTTTTTTAGAGGTGGCCCTGGAGACACGGGGCAGGGGCAGACGGTGCCAGCCCCACAGGGAGGCAGGGCAGTGCTGGGAAAGGACCCTGGTCTCTGGCACTAGTATCCCGCTTCCAGCCCTTGAGTACGGCCCCTGGCTGGTCAGAATTGGAGCCTTCAGGGCTTGGACACCCCACATGCCCAGTGTGCACGGGGGGCAAGCCAGCGGCTGCGAATTCACCCCCTTCCTCTGAAAGGGTGTGGGGGGGTGTTCTGCAATGATGGGCCCTGTTCATTAATTAATAAGGGTCCAACCTCTAGGGCCGGACAAACTAATCACCTTACAAAACTAAGTCGAGTTTAACAAGTTGTCTTACCAAAATATTTACTAACTAAAAATACATTTAATCCTTCGGTGGAAGCAGGGAGCTTCCTTCTGACACTGCTCATTCACTCGTGTAGGCCTAGATTTGGCACTGCGATTGGCTAGCATCTTCCTGAGCCCAAGAGGAGTCTCATTCAAGTGAGCAAACTCTCCAATGATGCTGCAGTTTGATGCTGCATCAGGGACTTGCCTGTAATATGTTCCCCTCTGGGACTAAGATTTATAAAATCAATGCTGGACAAGACATCAACAATGCATTTCCACGTCAGAGTTCTTATCTGATAAGAGAACAGAATGTAGGCAGTGTGAACTCAGCACTTTGCTTTTGCTACTGACTAATGCAGCAATAATGAGATCGTTCTCTGCAAAGTAAAATGGAGTCACAGCAAAAAGTGTGCCTATGGAGATTGCAATGTGTAGACTGATAAAAGCTGAAGCTAGGTGTAGCCTAAAACTTATGGTACTGACAATTAACACAGACCACAGACTCGACTAGTACCAAAAGCATTGTGAGAATAGGCTTACCTGATGCCTACAAAGGTCCATACACCAATAAGAAAATGTTGCAAATTCAGAGAGCAAGACAGGTCTCTGCCTACACCAGGAAACAGAGCTCTCAGGGGAGGGAAAAGTTTTTTGGTAAACTATCCTAGCTTTTTAATTAACAATAACAAACCTGCATGCTAATGACTTTGCAGTGGTAGGGGATGATGTTGCATATACAGCAAGTTTAGCAATTTGCTCCTCTAAGGCTATGTCTAAACTACAAGCCTCTTTCGAAAGAGAGTCTAGGCTGCAACCACTTATTTCAAAAAAGCAAGCCGCTTTTTCGAAAGAGCACCCAGGCAGTCTGGAGGCTCTTTCGAAAAAGCCTTGTTTGCATTCAAGAACACCTTTTTTCCCCCCAAAAGAACACTTTTGAAAAAAGGTGTTTCTTGTAAAATGAGGTTTACCGCAGTCAAAAAAACCCACTATGTTCTTTCCATTTAATTTCGAAAGAACACAGTGATGGCAATCTAGACGCAAGGGAAGTTTTTTCAAAAAAGGCCACTTGTTTCAAAAAAACCCTGTAGTCTAGACACCGTAAGTGAAAAATTCTCACACCTAGGTAAGTTAGGGACATGGATAATGCAGCAAGGATATAACTTGCAAGATTCCCACATGCTAAGCTACCTCAACCCCTGCATGAAGTAATCATGCCATCTCAGACAAATTCTATATAGATACAATCAAATTTGATTCAGAAAGCTTCACTCATGTAGTATATCTTTCAAAGAAAAATAGTGAGAATATAAATGACTCATACAGGTACATTCATAAACAGCTACAATTTTAATAAAATAATGGCATTAGGTCTATTCAAAAGTGGTATAAGAACAAAATATGCATGTTTAAGATAAAACTACTTAGCAGGCAAATTTAAGACATTTCTCTTCAGATTGGCTTTCATCTGTTGCATATTCTTCAAAATTTAATACTACCAATTAGCAGTATCCCTTCCATCTAATTTTGACATCTCTACTATTTTCCCTGTAACAAAAACAAAAAATACCATTAGCAGGCAGAGCATAATGACATGGCACACAAAAAGCATATTTTTCACTATGGAATTGTATTCCTTTTCTTTTTTACATCTTGCAAGCAGAATCACATTCAGTGAGGTTTTTAGAAAATCTTACTGCAAAGCTACAATATAAAAAGTTTGTACATATACTTAAGTGACTAACTAGAGGAAGCCTTACCTTTTAATCTATTACCGACGCAAGCCTGATATTGGTTTAGAAACCTAAGAAGTGTTAATTTGTGATAAAGCTTAAATTGAATGCCAAAAATATCAGTTACCCAAGAATACTATTGCGTAGGACAGGTTCACGCTCCCTGCAAAGAGTTTATAAAATTAAAGCTCAGCCACAGCCAAATTAAAGATCATACAACTCTAGGGCGTAGCTGGGTTCTCATCTGAGCACCCATTTAAGAATAAACCAGCCCAAACAAAACCATCGACATGTTTTGTTAGTCTATAAGGCGCTACCAGACCATTTGTTGTTTTTTTCTGTGCAGACTAACTCTGTTACCCCCTGAAGCTCCAGCCCAAACCTGTTCAGCTTTTTTTAAGTCAAAAGCACAAGCCCAGGTCTTATGGTTAAAAGAACACTGAAGCTTTGACTACACTTCTAAAATTATAGCACAGCCACGGTGCTTTACAGTGAAAGTGTGGCCACAGCAGGCGTGCTAGGACAGAACTAACCCAGAGCTCTGTGAAAGCCACCTCCACTAGGGGAGTAGCCCGGTTGTTTGCACTGGTGCTTTACAGTGCTGTAACTTGCTGTGCTCAGAAGGGCAATGCGGGGGGTTTCACACCCAACAGCCAGAAAGTTGCAGTACAGTAGAATGGCCATGTAGACTTAGCCTTAGTGTAACAAGTTCTGGGACACATCGCTGGCTCTACTACAAGCTTCTTGGGCTTGCTACACAATCTCTGTGCGTCAATTTCTCATTGTCTCAGGTGGGGACCTGGGTATTTGCAGTTTAAAAGAATTGTTTGCAAAGCTTTGGGAGATCTTCTGATAGACGTACAATAGGACTGCAAAGCAGCCATTCATTACAGTCCGAATACTTCTTTCAAACACTATCGCTAATTGCAGTCTTCTAACTCCCATCTCTTACTCAGGTATCTGCAAAGTCACTTAAAATATACCAGTCACTGTAAACTTCTTATAGACTATTGCTCAGTCACGACGCTAAAGTAAAGTTTAGGCAGATGACTGATGCAAGAGAAAACACAGTAAGACTAAAATACTTCAGATTGTTTCAGAGGTTAGCTATATAAGCTTTCTGTATGAAAGTAAAAGCTCTTCCCACTCTTCTTCTTTGAAAGCTTAGACCCTGCTCTCTTCTGAACTTGAGGGACTACTTACTGCATATATCCATAACTGTTTTCTCAAAGGTAAATTTAATTAAACAAGGGAGTATGAAATCCTTATTTGTCATTATGTTTATTCAGAGTCAAAAAATTTAAAAGTCTTTCAAATGATCAGCATACTACAAAACAGCCAAATAAGCAAACTTTAATGAATGTAATCAAACTTAAAAATCCACTTTCAAGCTGATACCCATGAATGTTCAGTCGAAGAGACATTGAGTGTTTCATAAGCCATCCAATGAGGATTTATGTACGATTTCATTGATATCAAGTGTCAATCCCATAATGCACAAAGCCATATAAAACGTCACGTGAGTGGTGTGTACGATTAGACAACATACCAAAAGCAAACAGGACTTTACAGAGATAGCCAATGAAAGTTTCTAAGCACTCTTACAAGATGAACAGCAGCCTATTTATGAATCTAAATTTATCTATTTAGCACTACATTGGAACTAAGGGGGAAACAGGAGTATCCTTGTTAAGTATGAATTTCATTTTCTAGGTTTTAAAGTGGTGGCAACATGCAGGCAATACAGAGGGGAAACCAATTCCCTTTAAGATATTCATGATATAAGCCTAGCACTGAGGCTAAGACTTGAGCAGACATCTCAGAGCTAGCTGTCATGTTGTTCACTCAGGTTCCAGAGCAGTGCAGCTGTGTCAGATCTCCACGTGCAGGCCTATCCTGTGCTGGATACCCAGGGTTCCAGGTGGCCTTATGGCACAGGTGGGAGCCTTTTGGGTTGGGGCCACAGACCCACAGAAAAAACAGTCAAGGCCACACAAAAGAGAGAAGCCAACCCTCCCCCCCTCCCCGCCCTTGCTGACCTGGCCCCCAAGTGAAGAGAAAAAACCTCAGATGTGGCCCCCATACTGAGAAGCAGGGGGGAAGAATCCCCTCAACCTCCAGCCTCTTGGAGGGGGAAGGAGGATGGGCGGCTCAAGGCTTACCTCCAGGGCCAGATTAACTCCTCTCAGGGCTTGAGGCTGGTAGATTCCGTGGGGGCCTCCTAGGCTCTGGGGTGGAGCCAAAAATGAAGGGTTCAGTGTGTGGGAGGGGGCTGCCAGGGAGAAGGCTGGGCATAAGGATTCAGGGGGTCTGGGCAGGAGATGGAGTGCAGGGGCAGGCTGGGAGTGTGGGCATTAGGTCTTGGTGGGCGGGGGTGCAGCAGTAGAGTGGGAGGGGTGCAGGGTTTGGGCAGGAGGGGGAAGGGAGAAGGCACAGGATAGGGGCACCTACCTATCATGTCTGCACAATTCTGCACTCTGCAAGGAAGCACTCCCTGCAGGTACCACCCCCCAGATTCTTGGCCAATGCGTGCAATGGGGAGTGATGCCTGCAGGGAGTGCTTCCTTCCCTGCATAAGAATGCATGCACGGTTTAAGTCTAGTGCCCAAGAAGGCTGGGAGGACTTCATGGTACTCCTTCTTGGGGGATACCGCTGGTGCTCTATCAGTCCCTGTTTGCGAGCTGGTACGGCATTGCATCTTAACAGCGTGCTACTTAAAATTCCCACAGCCACTAGTTTTGCGGGATACATAAGCAAGCAAACAGCATCTGTGGCTAATGGAATCCAAACGCTCTCTTTTGTGGGTGACACCATAAAATGTGCTATAGGTCACTCCTCCACACACAGATTACAAAGTGTAAGTGAGCGGAGATCAGTAACCTTGCTGGAAATGGAAAGAGCCACTACAAGTTGGTCATACCTCAGACACAAGATCGTATGGAAGAGAGTTACAAGATTACCTGTTGGCAAGGCAAAGCACACACTCATTGGGATATGTGCGCCCATCAGTTCCACAAACCGGGCTCAAGTTCCTTGGACAGCCAGGCAAACCATACCAGTAGCATTGTGGCTAGGGAGGAAACAAACTTATGAAACGCTCTAGGAGAAGCCATTCCAAACAGCATTTTGGAAACCTCCCTGATGAAGCAATCGAACAAGCGCTGCCATACTGCAATGACATGCTAATGTATTTCTATTAGAAATAAAAAGAATCACCATTTCATAACAATCTGTGGTGGAGTTGAGAGATGTTGCATCTCTTTCCTAGTTACATGAAAAGGCATCGCTTTGGGCTTCACATACTAACTACATGCTCCCATTACATAACTAAGTACTTAAATTGCTCACCAGTCAAGGGGGCTTGAGTCAGCATTGCTAAAAAGAGTGGTTTTTACCTTAGGATACCTAACACAGGAAGAAATACAGTGGAGACAAGGGGCTTTAGTTTTTCCACAAAGTAAATTCAGAGGTCAAGCCAAGCTGGGTGTATAAGGCCACAAATGTATCTCCTGATAATACTGAAATGCCTTGTCTCATGCACTTTAGTTAACCAGAGATTAAAAAAGCCTCCACAGCATTTTTAGCAGTGAAGACACAAGTCACTTATTAACAAATCAGCAACATAATGTAACATGGAGTTCATTCAAAATCACGACAGTGTAACATGTTAGAGCCAGAACAGGAGTTTTTCTACTGAGAATAGTTATCTGAAGCTAGCTCTCTTGGTAGAAAAGCCTACACCTAAATTATTAGTCAACATTTACAGTAACTAATCGAATTGTCGACAGGATTCCCATCAACTATTTGATTAGTCTATAAGGGCTCTTCTGCCTTTGAACTGTAGCAAGAGCCCTGCTGAGATTCTGGTTTTTTGAAATGTACAAGAGCCCCAGCAGGGCTCTTGTACATTTCAAAAGCAGAATCACAGCAAAAGCAGTGCAAGTGGAGACTGCTTCAGTCCCCACTCACACCGCCATTTCCCCTGTGCCTCTACCTCCCCTGCTCCCCACAGAGATGGTGCTGGGGAGAACTGGCTTTTAAGCCAGCCCTCCCCCCAGCACTGGCTCCTGCTCTCCTCTTTGCTGCCTCTCTCACTAGTCCACTATATGATATGTTGACTAATTGCTTACATCCCTAGTTGGTCAGAGGTGTGAGAACGCCACATGCTAAGCATCCTATGCTGATCTAACCTCTGGCATAGACGCAGCCTGGTCAACAGAAAAATGTTTCCATCAACCTAGTTACCATTTCTCAGGGAGAAGGCAAAGAAGGAGTTCCTACACAGATGCAGAAACCTTGCATAGGTGTAGTTTGTGTCTACACTGGCATATCTATGACGCCATAGCAAATAAATAGAGTTACTCCCTAAGGCTGTGTCCAGACTCGAGGGCTTTTTCCAAAAAACGTCACCTGCGTCTAGACTACAGCCACGTTCTTTTGAAATTAAATCGAAAGAACGTGGCTTTTCTTTCGACAGCGGAAAACCTCATTTCACGAGGAAGAACGCCTTCTTTCAAAAGTGCTCTTTCAAAAAAAGGCGTTCTTGGATGCAAACAGGGCTTTTTCGAAAGAGCGTCCAGACTGCCTGGGTGCTCTCTTTGGAGCAAGCGGCTCCTTTTCGAAAGAGAGCGTCCAGACTGCCTGGGTGCTCTCTTTGGAGCAAGCGGCTCCTTTTCGAAAGAGAGCGTCCAGACTGCCTGGGTGCTCTCTTTGGAGCAAGCGGCTCCTTTTCGAAAGAGAGCGTCCAGACTGCCTGGGTGCTCTCTTTGGAGCAAGCGGCTCCTTTTCGAAAGAGAGCGTCCAGACTGCCTGGGTGCTCTCTTTGGAGCAAGCGGCTCCTTTTCGAAAGAGAGCGTCCAGACTGCCTGGGTGCTCTCTTTGGAGCAAGCGGCTCCTTTTCGAAAGAGAGCGTCCAGACTGCCTGGGTGCTCTCTTTGGAGCAAGCGGCTCCTTTTCGAAAGAGAGCGTCCAGACTGCCTGGGTGCTCTCTTTGGAGCAAGCGGCTCCTTTTCGAAAGAGAGCGTCCAGACTGCCTGGGTGCTCTCTTTGGAGCAAGCGGCTCCTTTTCGAAAGAGAGCGTCCAGACTGCCTGGGTGCTCTCTTTGGAGCAAGCGGCTCCTTTTCGAAAGAGAGCGTCCAGACTGCCTGGGTGCTCTCTTTGGAGCAAGCGGCTCCTTTTCGAAAGAGAGCGTCCAGACTGCCTGGGTGCTCTCTTTGGAGCAAGCGGCTCCTTTTCGAAAGAGAGCGTCCAGACTGCCTGGGTGCTCTCTTTGGAGCAAGCGGCTCCTTTTCGAAAGAGAGCGTCCAGACTGCCTGGGTGCTCTCTTTGGAGCAAGCGGCTCCTTTTCGAAAGAGAGCGTCCAGACTGCCTGGGTGCTCTCTTTGGAGCAAGCGGCTCCTTTTCGAAAGAGAGCGTCCAGACTGCCGGGGTGCTCTCTGGAGCGAGCGGCTCCTTTTCGAAAGAGCGTCCAGACTGCCGGGGTGCTCTCTGGAGCGAGCGGCTCCTTTTCGAAAGAGCGTCCAGACTGCCGGGGTGCTCTCTGGAGCGAGCGGCTCCTTTTCGAAAGAGCGTCCAGACTGCCGGGGTGCTCTCTGGAGCGAGCGGCTCCTTTTCGAAAGAGCGTCCAGACTGCCGGGGTGCTCTCTGGAGCGAGCGGCTCCTTTTCGAAAGAGCGTCCAGACTGCCGGGGTGCTCTCTGGAGCGAGCGGCTCCTTTTCGAAAGAGCGTCCAGACTGCCGGGGTGCTCTCTGGAGCGAGCGGCTCCTTTTCGAAAGAGCGTCCAGACTGCCGGGGTGCTCTCTGGAGCGAGCGGCTCCTTTTCGAAAGAGCGTCCAGACTGCCGGGGTGCTCTCTGGAGCGAGCGGCTCCTTTTCGAAAGAGCGTCCAGACTGCCGGGGTGCTCTCTGGAGCGAGCGGCTCCTTTTCGAAAGAGCGTCCAGACTGCCGGGGTGCTCTCTGGAGCGAGCGGCTCCTTTTCGAAAGAGCGTCCAGACTGCCGGGGTGCTCTCTGGAGCGAGCGGCTCCTTTTCGAAAGAGCGTCCAGACTGCCGGGGTGCTCTCTGGAGCGAGCGGCTCCTTTTCGAAAGAGCGTCCAGACTGCCGGGGTGCTCTCTGGAGCGAGCGGCTCCTTTTCGAAAGAGCGTCCAGACTGCCGGGGTGCTCTCTGGAGCGAGCGGCTCCTTTTCGAAAGAGCGTCCAGACTGCCGGGGTGCTCTCTGGAGCGAGCGGCTCCTTTTCGAAAGAGCGTCCAGACTGCCGGGGTGCTCTCTGGAGCGAGCGGCTCCTTTTCGAAAGAGCGTCCAGACTGCCGGGGTGCTCTCTGGAGCGAGCGGCTCCTTTTCGAAAGAGCGTCCAGACTGCCGGGGTGCTCTCTGGAGCGAGCGGCTCCTTTTCGAAAGAGCGTCCAGACTGCCGGGGTGCTCTCTGGAGCGAGCGGCTCCTTTTCGAAAGAGCGTCCAGACTGCCGGGGTGCTCTCTGGAGCGAGCGGCTCCTTTTCGAAAGAGCGTCCAGACTGCCGGGGTGCTCTCTGGAGCGAGCGGCTCCTTTTCGAAAGAGCGTCCAGACTGCCGGGGTGCTCTCTGGAGCGAGCGGCTCCTTTTCGAAAGAGCGTCCAGACTGCCGGGGTGCTCTCTGGAGCGAGCGGCTCCTTTTCGAAAGAGCGTCCAGACTGCCGGGGTGCTCTCTGGAGCGAGCGGCTCCTTTTCGAAAGAGCGTCCAGACTGCCGGGGTGCTCTCTGGAGCGAGCGGCTCCTTTTCGAAAGAGCGTCCAGACTGCCGGGGTGCTCTCTGGAGCGAGCGGCTCCTTTTCGAAAGAGCGTCCAGACTGCCGGGGTGCTCTCTGGAGCGAGCGGCTCCTTTTCGAAAGAGCGTCCAGACTGCCGGGGTGCTCTCTGGAGCGAGCGGCTCCTTTTCGAAAGAGCGTCCAGACTGCCGGGGTGCTCTCTGGAGCGAGCGGCTCCTTTTCGAAAGAGCGTCCAGACTGCCGGGGTGCTCTCTGGAGCGAGCGGCTCCTTTTCGAAAGAGCGTCCAGACTGCCGGGGTGCTCTCTGGAGCGAGCGGCTCCTTTTCGAAAGAGCGTCCAGACTGCCGGGGTGCTCTCTGGAGCGAGCGGCTCCTTTTCGAAAGAGCGTCCAGACTGCCGGGGTGCTCTCTGGAGCGAGCGGCTCCTTTTCGAAAGAGCGTCCAGACTGCCGGGGTGCTCTCTGGAGCGAGCGGCTCCTTTTCGAAAGAGCGTCCAGACTGCCGGGGTGCTCTCTGGAGCGAGCGGCTCCTTTTCGAAAGAGCGTCCAGACTGCCGGGGTGCTCTCTGGAGCGAGCGGCTCCTTTTCGAAAGAGCGTCCAGACTGCCGGGGTGCTCTCTGGAGCGAGCGGCTCCTTTTCGAAAGAGCGTCCAGACTGCCGGGGTGCTCTCTGGAGCGAGCGGCTCCTTTTCGAAAGAGCGTCCAGACTGCCGGGGTGCTCTCTGGAGCGAGCGGCTCCTTTTCGAAAGAGCGTCCAGACTGCCGGGGTGCTCTCTGGAGCGAGCGGCTCCTTTTCGAAAGAGCGTCCAGACTGCCGGGGTGCTCTCTGGAGCGAGCGGCTCCTTTTCGAAAGAGCGTCCAGACTGCCGGGGTGCTCTCTGGAGCGAGCGGCTCCTTTTCGAAAGAGCGTCCAGACTGCCGGGGTGCTCTCTGGAGCGAGCGGCTCCTTTTCGAAAGAGCGTCCAGACTGCCGGGGTGCTCTCTGGAGCGAGCGGCTCCTTTTCGAAAGAGCGTCCAGACTGCCGGGGTGCTCTCTGGAGCGAGCGGCTCCTTTTCGAAAGAGCGTCCAGACTGCCGGGGTGCTCTCTGGAGCGAGCGGCTCCTTTTCGAAAGAGCGTCCAGACTGCCGGGGTGCTCTCTGGAGCGAGCGGCTCCTTTTCGAAAGAGCGTCCAGACTGCCGGGGTGCTCTCTGGAGCGAGCGGCTCCTTTTCGAAAGAGCGTCCAGACTGCCGGGGTGCTCTCTGGAGCGAGCGGCTCCTTTTCGAAAGAGCGTCCAGACTGCCGGGGTGCTCTCTGGAGCGAGCGGCTCCTTTTCGAAAGAGCGTCCAGACTGCCGGGGTGCTCTCTGGAGCG